ATAGATCCGTAAATACTGAGAACAGACTGTTACCATACAAGAGGGAAGTGGCAGGGATGGTTGAACTAGTGAAGGGAATAAGGAGTTACAAACTTCAAATTATAAAATAAATTAGTCATAGGAATGGTAGCACAGCATAGAGAGTATAATTGATAATACTATAATATGGTAGCCGGTGGTACTATACTAACCATAGTGAGTAGTAATGCATTCGAATTGCAGTTATATATTTGAAACAAATATAATACTGTCTATCAACTACATTCCAATAAAAGAGATGAATCATCATAGGAGGAAAAAAACTATACCATGCTATACCTCCTAGAGAGGGGGAGGTCACAAACTTGTCCCTGAACATCTTAGCAACTAGCACAAAGAAGGAACTGTCCCATTAATTACATAATTTACTGTGTCTAAATAGAACTTTAATCACTTAAGAGAAGCATACCTATTCCTGTTTTTAAAAGTGAAAAATATCTTCACAAAGAGGACTTTGCCTAAAGTAGCAGCACTCTCAACATTTATGACATAGAACCATGGGTTTCCTGGCTTAATGCCAAACTGCATTCAAAGAAGAATTCTTCCCCCATAGGGGAGGAAAAGTTTCTTAGCTAATTCTGATTGCCTGGATTAATCCAAGAAAAAACTTTTGGAGTATCAAAAGAGAATGGATAAAATGTAAAGAGAAGAAATGTCTATTTTGCTAAATATTAAACTGCAATTTTCTGGTGTGCACCCAGACTTAATTATTCTCTTTGCTGATTCCATTAGGAGCCTGTGCTTTACTTTTTGTCAAATTGGGATTTAGGTGTTAAGTCAAAGTTAATTGGCAAATTAGGAGTTTAACCAGATCAGCCTGGTTCCATTAAATTACACTTCTTTCTTATTAACATGTGCAGTGTAGCAGGCAGATTTTAAGTACAAACAACTTATCTATAATATTTGGAAATACTCCAATACATAACTTTTAATAAAGGTAGGAAACTAAGAAAGTGATTTTACTCCAAAATGTAAGGGATGGCAAATTGCAAACACCATTTGCTTCCTATTAGTGTACATATCTTTTTATAACACCAGTATTTCATGTTTACTGAAGAAAAATTACAAGATACAGCTAAGCAAAAAAAAAACAATCCTACTTGAAAAATGTGTTATATGGTGTTTTAGTGATATTTTAAAGATTTTTTTTTCAGTTAAACATTTTTCCATGATACCCTTACTGAACAACTTTCGTATCTATAACCACACATTTAAGATAATTAGTAATTTCGTAATATCTAATATTGAGTCCATATTCAAATTTCTCACTGCCCCATAATGCCTTTTGTAACTTCTATTTTAAATGATCTCATTTAATAACCAAGGTTTACATATTGTATTTAGCTACTTGGTTATATGTCTCTGGTCTCTTAATCTAGAACAGTTCCTCTTTTTTTTTTTCCTTTTTTTAAAAAATATCATTGACTGAAGTATCTAGGCCCATCCAGAATGTGAAGCACACTCCAATTTTATATTTATGAAACATTCCTATAACCGTATGCATTAGTTATCTACTATTGCTTAATAAATTATGCCATACTTAAGTGGCTTATAAAACCACACACATTTATTATCTCAAATGTTTTGTGAGTGAGAAATCCTGGCACAGCTTAGGTGGTCCTCTGCTTCTTGGTTTCACATGAGGCTGAAGTTAAGGTGTCAGCCAAGGCAGGGGTCTCACCTGAAGGCTTGACTAGGGAAGGGTGCATTGACAAGTGCACTTACATGGTGAGCATTCAATTCTGTTCAGTTCAATTGTGGACCTCAGTTTCTAGCTGACTGTTGGTCAGAGACTGCCCTCAATTACTTGCCTTGTGGGCCCCTCCATGGCAAGTTTCTTCATCAAAGCCAGTAAGGGAAAGAGTCAGCTAGCAGGAACAAACTCGGAATATTTATAATGTAATTACAGACATGACATTCCCTCAACCATCAAGGTGTTCTATTTGTTGAAAGCAAATTACTCAAGGAGAGTAGGTCACACAAGGCCATGAATACCAGAGAGAGGGATCACTGGGGGTCTTCTTAGGATCTGCCTGCCACACCTATTTCCTAGAAACTGAAAGCTAAGTCCAAAAGCTTGGTTAGGTTGACATTAAATTTTTATGGCAAGAATACTTCGTGATATGTACTTGTTTTTTTGTTTTATTTTGTTTTACTTGATGGCATCATATCTGAGCTTCCTTAAAGATACTTCCCTCCCCTTAACTACAGGAGCTTAGAACAAAACCAGGATGTAAATGGCCTAGTACAATCTCAGTAGAGAGGGGGCAATGTTTTTAAAATGTCTTCATTCTCACATTTTTTCTGCCAGTCTTCTTTCTCAAAGTGATTATCAAGTTGTATATGTTTATTGTTTAAAATTAGCATGCTTGTTTTCTTGGGGTACTAAGAAAGATAGAATCTTGATTTTGAGGGCAAAAAGTAAACCATTCTGGTGCCTCTCATGGAAGCAGTTGTCAGAATACAGTGAGTAATGGAAACTTTAAAGAAGAGAAAACTGACTAATACCCTTCTGTAAAGTATGTAGACTGATACTGATCCTAGGCCTACCATGAGGTGCTGGGACTTGAAACTTGGCCTTGGGGTTCCTGAACACACTATAATAGAAAAATAAAATGTCCAAATGGCAATGATATTTTCATCAGATTTAAAGGCTCTAGGGAATTCACGAGACAAATTGATAAATCTTAACTGGCAGTGCTCTGCTTTCTTGCTCCAGCCAAAGAAATATAGAAACTGTATGTTGCTGTAGAATGAGGTGAAAACCAAGAAGTGTCTCAATTGATTTTATAAGGTAATATTTGCATCCAGGAATGAATAAGCAACCATATCTATCCAGGCTAACACATACCATTTTAGATTTGCTGTCAGTTTGCTCGTTGCATAACACCGCACCACAAACTGGTGAAGGTGAAATTAAACAACAGAAATTTATTTGCTCACAGTTGTGGATGCTAGAAGTCCAGCACCAAGATCAAGGTGCTGTCAGGATTGGTTTCGGGTGACATCTCTTCCCTGTTTGTAGCTGGTTAGCTGCCGTCTCACACTGTCCTCACATGGGCTTTCCTTTGTGTGCTCATAGAGGAAGAGCGATTTCTTTCTTCACTGAAGAAGTACCTTAAGCTGTTTAAAACTGCGTTTAAAAAGTAATGTCTCTTCTTATAAGGACACCAATTTTATCTCTAAGCTTAGGGATCCTACCTTCATGACCTCATTTTAACCTTATCTATTTAAAGGCCCTATTTCCAAATACAGTTACATTTGGGATTAGGGCTCAACATGTAAGTTTTGGAGGGACACAAGTAAAAAATGTTATAAATATTACATGTCATTAATTTTATGTATTTATTCTGTCTATGAATATAATACTCTCATTCCCTTCAGGTAACATATTTGAATGATGCCAATATGGAATTCCTGAGAGCTCAGTGCCCTTGGCCTCAGCATTTCATTCACTTTAGAAGGTGAGGCAAAGGGTGGAGCCAGGGGGTCTAGACAGCTGTTTCTTAGGGCTGGAATCACCCATGTACCTGGTTTGTTCTAGGCCATCATTAAATAGTTGAATGACTGAGAAACAGGTAGGGAATGTGGTCACCCCAATGCTTTCTATCACCCCAGTGAAAGATACAGGATTATTATCACTCAGCCAACATGCCCCAGGCCGTCTTCTTTCTTCTGTGGCTAAAAGTCCCTGCTGAGACTATCCTGATTTTAAAAAACTGTCTAGTGTTTAGATCCAAAATCCTCCGTATCAGTACACAAATCTAACACTCATAACGCTATGATCCACAGTCAGTTTTCAAAAACTCAACACCTTTACTTGTTCCTCATCTAATCCAGGCTGCAAATACATAATAATCTACAGAAAATACTCCTGAAATTCTCTTCTACTCTCTTCCATTGTTGCCTTCACACACTGCTGCTTTTCTTTTGCATTTCCTCCCACAAACTCTTTCTAAACATGGCCTGGGATTTCATCAGTCCCTAACACTCCTAAATTATTCTTGTTTTTTTTCCTTCAAAAAATCAAGAACTAGTCGGAAAAGCCAGTTTTTGAAGAAGGGAGAGAGAAAAAGATAGGAACACTGATATGCCAACACTACTTTATCCTTGCTCCCCTCTCCCGTCTCACAAACATAAATAATGAAATTTATAAGGTCAACACACTGATTCAGTAGATACCACTCCAATCAGCGGTAAAGTATTTAACATTATAAATCAAGAATGCAAGTCAAGACTATTATTATATATTAGGACAATTTTTTAAAGATTTCAGTAACATTTTAGGTTGGTTATAACATTTAGGTCATTCTTTCTTCAAAAGAATCCATTTAAACAGGACAGGAAAAATATAAAGCTTATATCCTTTGATCAGTTTCTTTTTGGGTACAACGTATTATACGGAAAAGGAAAACAGTGTAAATTTTTTAAATCTATTTATAACTGCATTATTCTGAAACGTGATAGACTGTCAACAATCTAAGCGCTATCATCCGAATATTAAATTGACAAAGAAAACAATGAAATACTAGAGCCACATGCCTTTATAAGTGAAAAGTAAACATGCCTAGAAATTAGTGTTAATGGGGACAAACAAGGAAGCACCAAACCTATTCCAGCACAGTTGCCTAAAATAAATTTCAAAAAAATTTCTCCAGGTGATTATAATGAGATTTTCCTTAAACTCTTTTTGTTACAATGTTGTGTCATAAAAACCGGAAGACAAATGACGATTCAGAAACTACACCTTTACCCTACACTGTACTTGTCTATCGACAAAGCTCGAAGCAGTTGTAAGGCTCCACTTTCTGTCCTTTCTAGAGGTACAAAACCAAACAAAAACACAATTAGACAACCGGCCACCTCTCCGGTACACTCAAGCCTCCGCCACGAGGATGCCAAGACCACGCGGTTCGACCCGGCACCGCCTCCAGACACGCCTCCCGGCTTCTGCAAAAAGCCGGAAGTGACGCAAAACTGCACCGCCAGCGCGCGGCAGGAGCTGGGTTTAGACCGCTTCAGGGACGGAGGGCTTTCACCGGATGGTTGCAGCGGGGCAATCATGACGGGGAAGAAGTCCTGCCGGGAGAAGCGACGCAAACGAAGCGGTCAGGAGGCGGCCGCGGCGCTCGCGGCGCCGGACCTGGCACCCGCGCTCGCCAGCAGCGGCAGTGGAAACACGAGCGGCTGCGGCAGCACCAGCGGCTGCGGGAGTGTCACCTGCTGTGGGAACACCGTTTTCAGTGGAAGTGTCTCTGGTGGTGGGAGCGGCGTCGAGCGCTGCGAGCGCCGGAAGCGGAGGAGCACTGACTCATCTTCCAGCGTCTCGGGCTCCCTGCAGCAGGTGCGTGCGCTCTCTTCTCGCTCGTCTCAGGTCTGGTGCGTTTTCCGTAGACAGCTCGGGAGGAGCGCATTGTGGTCCCGAGATAGGACACATGCAGTAGCTCAGTATTAGCGCTGGTCTCCCAAGGTTCCCCCGTTCTTGAGGTTCCTGCTTCTAAGGCCCTGTGATCCCCGCACTCTCATTTTGGGGTTTGCTGATCATCTCATTTTGATTTTGGCCTTTCCACTCCTGTGGGCCCCCTCAGGCTCCCTGGACAGTGTATGTACGTCGGGAGCTGTTCTTCAGGGATCTTGCGAGACATGCTTTACGTCTTTCTTCATCTTTACTTTTTAGTAGATTATGATTAACTCCACATTACCACATGAGAAAATTGAGGCTCAAAAAGGTTAAAGAAGCCTACCACAGTTGCAGTTTATTAATAACGCCGAGATTTGAGTCTAGTACCTGATTATAAAAGCCATATTCTTTATGCTACGTTGTTCTGTCAAGGTATTACCGTTAAAAAAAATCGTTTCTTATATAATAAGACAAATGTATGAATGCGTACTTAAAATTCATACAACAAAAATAAAGGGAAAAGTGTGTAATTCTCTTTTTAAGCTTTTCCATTAATAGATTGATACGCAGCCTCTTCATTAATTCTTGTGTATTTAAGTGCCTACACAAGCTTTATTGTGATATTCACCCCCATTGAATTGGATAATACCGCTGCATTTTTGTGATGGGGGTCTTTTTATATGCGATACTTTGTTTTTCAGCGGCCGCATGACATTCCATTTTATCTCTGGGTGAATTATTTAGGTTTCCAATTTTCTTCAGAGATAATATGAATGAAAATGAACACTCTTGTACATATATCTTGTGCAAGAATTACTGTAGGGTAGAGTCTCAGAAGTGAAATTGCTAGCTTAAAGTGTACGCATTTAAAAGGCTTTGGTAGGTACCAGCAAATGCTTTCCAAAACAGGTTTTTTTGATTTATAGTCCACACAATATGTAACAATATCCATTTCTGCAAATACTCTCATCAACTTTTGAAAACTATATCAGCTTAATGGGTGAAATTACTATTTCATTTATTTTTTTCTGATTAATAGTGCGATTGGACATTTTTATATTTTAATTTGTCGTTTGATTCCTTGTGTAAATTTCATATTTATGATCTGGCACTTTTTGGTTGTTTTCAACTTTTTACTGGTAGATTCTGTGAATCTCTTTACATAAAGTCGGTTTAAATCCTTTTTGTGAGGTATATTGCATGTTACTGTAAGTTTATCCACGGTGTACTAAAATTTTGTGATTTTTTTTTTTGTCAGCACTATTTTTCTTTGCCTTCTAGATTTTGTGTGTGGTTTAGAAAGGTCTTTCTTAGTCCAAGAGTATAAAACTATCTATTTTCTTCTAGTATTTTTAAACTTTTCATTTTTAAATTGGGAGTTGTGGAATCAAGGCCATTTATTTTTATGTATTTTCTTGTATCTTGCCGAGATTATTATTAATTTAAAATAATTAGCTCAGGTAAATTTGTGCTAACAACGAGTTTTGCTCTTCTGCACTAATACTTTCTGTTCTTTTGCATTGCCTTAAACTTTTAATATAGTGTTAAACAGAAGCAGTGATAATAAGCATTCTTTTTCCATTCCTATTTTTAGTGGGAACATTTCCAATGTTGTTTCAATAACTGTGCTTGCCATAGGTTCTGAAAGATAACTTCAATCAAGTTAAGGAAATTTCCTTCAATACTAGTTCACTGAGGGTGGTAATGTTTTATCAGATGCTTTTTGGCAAAATGTTGAGATGATCACTTCGTTTTCCTCTTTAATATTATTATGTAATTTTATTGGTAAATGAACTCATGTTGAACTGTTCTTGCAGTCCTTGGATAGATCTTACTCGGTTTGGTTTGGTTGTACTCAGCTGCAATTCAGTATTTTTAGTTTTGTGTCTGTGTTCCTAAGTTAAATCAGCCTATGGTTTTTATTTCTGTAGTTACTCTGTCTGGTTTTGGTATCAAGGTTATGCTAGCCTCATGGATTGAGTTGGGAAGCTTTGCATTTTTTTTGGTGTGTTCCAGAATAGTTTATATCTTTGTCTTGAAGGTTTGTCAGAACTTGACCATTGGACCATTGGATTTGTTGCATTTTTTTACAGGTATTTAAAAATTTTTTATTCAGTCTCTTTTAAAATTCATTGATGGTTAGACATCAGTTCAGTTTTTCAATCATTTCTAGATTCAACTTTGGATATCACCATTCTTATTTTAAATAGTTTCCATATGTATAGTACTCTTTATTATGATGGGGAGACCAATAATGCTAAGTGTCAAACATTTGCATAAAGAACTAAACCTTATTTCTAATGAGAAGTGTATTTATGAAGGAAAAATAGAAGTTATTACTTATCAGGCATTTAGATAACATCTCAGAATTCAAAGAGTGCCATAATATCCATTGTGTATTTGGTTTCCTGTTAGTGTTTTTGCCAACAACTTTATCATATGTCATACAATTCACCCATTTCAAATATACAGTTCACTGGTTTTCAGTATATTCACAGAGCTGTGCAACTATTACTATAATCAATTTTAAAATATTTGCATAACCCCTAAAAGAAACCCTCTGTATACCTTTTACCTGTCAACCCTAATACCCCCACGCTGTTCCATCCCTAGGCAGCCATTAATCTTTCTGTCTCTATTGATTTATAGATGTCCCTGTTCTAGACATTTTATATGAATGGAAACATACAATATGTGGTCTTTTGTGACTGGCTTCTTTTGCTTAACATAATTTTTCAGAGTGCATCTGTTGTGTAATACATGTCAGTACTTCATTCTTTTTTTATGGCTGAGTAATACTTCATTGTATAGCTGTACCACATTTGTTTTTTCCATTTATCATTTGTTAGATATTTGAATTGTTTGTACCTTTGGCTATTATGAATAACGCTGCCGTGTATATCTGTGTGCAAGTTTTTGTGCAAATGTATGGTTACATTTCTCTTGGTTATATATCTAGGAATGGAATTGCTGCATCATATAATAGCTTATGAGGAACTGCCAAACTATTTTCTAGAGCAACTATACCATTTTATATTCCTACTATCATTATATGAGAGTTCCAGTTTCTCTATATCCTTGTTAACACCTGAATTATTTTGCAAGTCATTAGAATAAGAGCTTACTTTCTTTAGTATCTCAGTCTAATTATCATAGTATTCTTTAAAGTTGGCCTGTTTTTATGTGGCTTTTTAAAACAATTCCATTAGAAAACCTAACAGATTTACCTGAACTATATAGTTAGGGAAGATTTTCCTGAGGAAATGACTTTGGAATTGATAATGTGCATTTGTTAATCTTGGGAATATAGTAGTGTAGGGGAACTGGGGAGGAAAGACTGTCCTAGAAAGAAGAATGAGTATGTACAAAAGCCCTGCCTGTATGAGGTGAAGAGAGAACAGGTTATATTTGAGTGTATTCAGAGAAGGTCCTCATGTTTGGAGCAGCAACGGTGAGTATGAAGGGCCAGATAGGCTGTATTACCCTAAGAGCAGTGGGAAGTCATTTAAAGATTATAAACAGGGAGAATGAGTATACGTACATTTTATAAGACCCATTCTGGTAACAGTTTACAAAACAGATTGGAGAGACCTCAGATTGCATGTCGGGAGACTGGTTAAGTGGCTATTGAGGTAATCTAGGGAAAAGTTGGTGGTACCTTAGACCACAATATGGCAATAGATTTGGGTGATAGGGGAAGTACAATTGACAAAAATGTCTTAAATAACTTGACTACTTTGAATATGATTTAATTAAAACATTTTCAAAAATAGGCAGTAATACTTTTTTTATTTATTTTTATTTTGTTGTCATTAATCTACAGTTACATGAAGAACATTATGTTTAGTAGGGTACCCCCTTCAAGTCCCCCCCACAAACCCCATTACAGTACTGTCCATCAGCGTAGTAAGATGCTGTAGAATCACTACTTCTCTTTCCTGTGTTGCACCACCCTCCCCTTGCCCCCCCAACATTATACATGCTAATCATAATACCCCCTTTGAGTAGTTGATCTTATTTTTTGCCTTTAGTTATTATTTGGTTGGTCTGCTTTCTTTGCTGTGATTTTATTTTCTCTGGTGACATCTATTTAGTCTTAGGAGTGCTCCCGTCTAGAGCAGTCCCTCTAAAATACCCTGTAGAGGTGGTTTGTGGGAGGCAAATTCCCTCAACTTTTACTTGTCTGGGAATTGTTTGATCCCTCCTTCATATTTAAATGATAATTGTGCTGGATACAGTATTCTTGGTTTAAGGCCCTTCTGTTTCATTGCATTAAATATATCATGCCATTCTCTTCTGGCCTGTAAGGTTTCTGTTGAGAAGTCTGATGATAGCGTGATGGGTTTTCCTTTGTAGGTGACCTTTTTCCTCTCTCTAGCTGCCTTTAAAACTCTGTCCTTGTCCTTGATCTTTGTCATTTTAATTATTATATGTCTTGGTGTTGTCCTCCTTGGGTCCCTTCTGTTGGGGGTTCTGTGAACAGGGGGACCTGTTTCCCTAGTATCCAGCACCTCACACACTGTGTGTCTCAGTGTGGATGGCTAGGGCTGGATGTTTAGCAGTCCTGGGCTCCCTCTCCCTCCCCGCTCTGACTCCTTTCCTCCCTCCAGGAGCTGGGGTGAGGGGCGCTCAGGTCCCGCCGGGCCGCGGCTTGTGTCTTACCCCCTTCACAAGGTGCTGGGTTCTTGCAGGTGTAGATGTAGTCTGGGTGTTGTCCTGTGTCTTCTGGTCTCTCTTTTAGGAATAGATGTATTTGTTGTATTTTCAAAAATATATATGGTTTTGGGAGGAGATTTCTGCTGCTCTACTCATGTCGCCATCTTGGTTGTCCTCTCGGCAGTAATACTTTATAATATTTGTGATTTGTAACATTTTTGCTGCTATCCGGTTTCTTTATATGAGTTTAAGAATAATGACAATGTATACATAAAATTTTTAGGTGAATGACCTACTGGTAGAATATCCTAATTCTTCCAAAATCTGAAATTGTAGGAAATCATTCAATAGTGAATATATTTTCATTTGTATGTTCTAAGATTCTATCTCTTCACTTTATATCAACTTCGTGAACTTACTACAATGTGGAGAGTAAGATCAAAGAATACTAAACAATTAACTGTTCTTTCCTATGGCTTTAGGTAAGTATACAAAGAATTTGGAAATGTTAAATGAAGAATTTATTAAATGAAAATGTCTGATGTTACATGCATATTTCCATTATTTAATGGTTCTTTGTCTCTTAATTTTAGGAAACCAAATATCTTTTGCCAACTTTGGATAAAGAATTATTCTTGGCAGAGCACAGTGACCTTGAGGAAGGTGGACTGGACCTGACTGTATCATTAAAACCAGTTAGTTTCTATATATCAGACAAAAAAGAAATGCTTCAGCAGTGTTTCTGTATAATAGGAGAGAAGAAGTTGCAGAAGATGCTTCCTGATGTGTTAAAGGTATTTTATTACATTAGTTATGAGATTACACACCTATATATAAATATACAAATACTTTTTGTAGCAATGATTTTACTTAATGCAGTATATAATTGGATGTTTTCAACTAAAACAAGCTACTTCAAAAACATACAAAAGAAGGGATTTTGAAGAACCATAAATGGCCTTATATATTTAAAAATTTACCAAGAAAAAGTGGGGAAATTTATTGACCTTTGGAAATAATTCTATTAAATGCAGGCAATTTTAATAACTAAATTAGAGAAATAATCATTCTTTATATTGCTCTAAGAAGTAATATATTGTTGTATAATGATAACAACAATGATTTTTGGTAATAACTTATATTCATTAAATTCATGATTTAGTTCTGAAAATTATTTAAGGAAATATCTGGTATTCAGATTTTACTGTTGTGGAAATGGCTTGGACAAGGTTAAACCCAAGATCATAAATTAAGATGTATAGAGCCAGGATTTGAATATTTAAATCTTTAGAGAAATTGTCTAACATTAATAGACTGCTGTTAAGAATATCTGGGCACCCTAACTTACTCTTTAGTCTGTTCTTTCATAATAAACATGACTTTATATACTCCCATGAAATCTCTATAAATTATGTTAAATGCAGCTTTTTATTTCATCCCATGAAAAGATTTATGTGACTTTTAATTTGTTTTATTGTAAGATTTGCTAATAAGACCTTTAAAAATGATAGCTGTTTTCTAGTTAACATTGGTACTATCTTACATAAACACATTTTAAAAATGTTATTTTCTCCAGAACTGTTCACTAGAAGAAATAAAAAAACTATGCCAGGAACAGTTAGAACTCCTGTCTGAAAAAAAAATCTTGAAGATTCTTGAGGGTAAGAATACACATTCTTGCATTTTGGTAATTTATTAGTTAATACTATATTCAGCATAAATATTCTCTTATGAAAAAGAATTCCAGAGGTATTCTTTTTCTTACTTGAATATTAGTTTAATTTCATTATTGGGTAATCAGTGGGTATTTTTACTTTTATTTGTACTGGGAAATACAGTTTACATATCAGAAAGAATTTCAAGAACAGTCTTTTTGGTGTATATGTGGCTTTTCCAAGCAAGTGTATAGGTAGGAGCATAAGGTACACAGTAATAAAATGAAATAAAAAATGATCAATCAAAATGCTGTAGAAAATTAAGAAGGCAAGCCTTCTTTTAAAATAATTTTTCATTTTCTGCCTTATATTTGTTCTGCTTTTAATTGCTTGTTTGTGCTGTTTCTGCTCTAATAAGACCTGGATGTAGAGTTAGAATTTCTTGCATTTTGCCACCATTTATTTGCTTAAAGTATGACTCTTCTTTGTGATACTATTACTTGCAGAATTTTGAACTTTCAAGCTTTTTTTTTAACCTTTTGGAACCTTGCAAAGATTTTAGCATTGGCATCACAAGAACAAATAATTGGAGACTTTCAATTTCCAGAGATATCTTTTTTAAAGGTAAAATGGTTTAATGAAATTTGTAACCGTGATAATAGATGTATATGTAGTGAATAGTTTGTAAGTATATATATACACAGTCTTGACTGTGTATTTTTATGTAATAAAGGGAAGGTAATAAATATCTCTAATAAGGCATTGAAAAGATTACTTTTAAATAAAAGAAATTTAAAATGTCATCCTTCAACAACTATAAAGTTCTTCTGTCTGCATCACTTTTATAGGTAACATTTTATGCAATGATTAGATCATTCTGACATTTTAAGCTCACCCTCAATAGTTTATTTTATTTATCAGGTGACAATGGTATGGACTCTGATATGGAAGAGGAGGCAGATGATGGCTCTAAGATGGGATCTGATTTAGTCAATCAGTAAGTTAAAAACTTTTGTTTTCATTTCAAAATTTTTTTGTTATTCCTCTGGTGATTTCTTAAGAATGTGATTGTTTTTCTGTGTTGTGTTTGTATAAAATGATTCAACAATGTGGGATTGATTTCTTGTAACGATTGGTTCTTCTGGTATATCTGAGATTGGAATTAATTGCTTTGAGGAGTATGATGATTTTCTTTAGCTAATATTCATAGGATAACAATGATGCTAGCCTGAAGCAGAATCACATCTCTTATTTGGAATTTGAATATGCTACTGGTACTACTTACTATTTTTTAAGTAAAACTATTTATTAAGTATAAAGCCTTCAGGCATTATATTAGTAGTTTAGAATACTTTATCTCACTGAATTCTTCTATATACCTGTTAATGTTAAGTGATAGATAAAGGCCTCGTTTCACAGACAAGGTAGTAAGGTGGGTCATTTTATATGAGTACATATAATTTGATTATTGTGATGATAGTAAAATGCCCTAAGTTTTGGGATACTAAATAATCAAGAATTAACATGCTAATTTTATTGCTAGATTATTCTGCTCTGTCGTGGCTCATTGAACTATCACCCGCCAGTTTTATCATCTACTAATGATTTTTGACTACGATAATTATTTTTTGGTAATTGCCAAAGACTAACTTGTATCTCTTTTTTTAAAGTTTGGCTACAGGCAGTAGCACAAATAAGAACAGATTACCAAAGGTAGTAGCATAAATAAATAGAACATATTTAACCTGAAATCTTGAGTACTTTTTCATTTCTAATAGAATAATATTGGATAAGTATCACTAAAAAAGGACAATTTCATTTTATGTTACAACTGTAGAGAGCATCATATAATCTGCTTGTACTAAAGCCTTCAAACTCATATTGTTTACTGCCTCATAATCAGATTTTTGGTCATCACGTGCATCTTGCCTAAGGATATCATATACTTAACCACAAAACTAAAAATGTACACATTTCTAAAAACAATCTTACTATAGGCTTTTCTTCAAAATACTTAGCTTTAAATTTTTTATGTGGTATACTAATCTAGTTCAGCTAGTTCAGGGATTTACAAGGCTTGTCATGTTTTAGTACTTATAAATTCTTAAATTATCTAAATAATTTTGTTCCTTGATGCTACTTATCATAGAGAATCCTGAATTGAACTTTTCCTTGGTTACATATTTGTTTTGCCATTGTTCAAATTTATTTATTTCTCCTAGTTTTTTGATATATCAAGGTTAAAGTCTTTTAATTTTTCACACCTGAACACTAGTGCCATCTTTTCTACTCTTAGAAGCCATTTAATGAATACTCAATTAGATTAGAAATTTAATTCTTTTAAAAGGTTATAAAATAATACAGTATTTGATTTCTGAACTTTTCTAAAAAAAAATTAATAGATTCAAAGTGACTACAGTGAAGAATTTACAATGTGATTACAAGTCAGGTCACATGCTATAGTGAGCAGATTGAACAATAACAAATATTACCAAAAATTGTCATGATAGCCACCTGATAAGTGCCAGATCATTGACGTTCTTTTGAATCACTTGAGAATGTAGGCTTAAAAAAACAAAATTCTAAGCTGCAAGATATCAAATTAATAATACTATAAGTTAACATTTACTAAGAATTGTATGCCAGACATTGTTCTAATCACTTTATATATATATGTCTATTTCCTTACTGGATTTGTACAACAACCTTGTGAGGTAGGTAGTATTAGCATCATCTTTTCACAGATGGTAAAATAAGGCCCTAACAGATTTGTGTGTCTAATATATTGACCATGTAAAGTTTTCCCAGTAGTTAAAAAAAAAATTTTATAGTATATTTATTTATTTAAATCACTTAACTTGTTGATTCCAACCTAGGATCTCAGTAGAGTTCACATATTCTATTTGACTGTTAGCATCAAAATAGGAAGCTAGCATTAGAGGGAAGATTAGATTCAAGAGGTTAAAAACTTAATGATTAGCCCAGGAACTTAGTTCCATCTCAAAGGAATTAAAAAAATAACTAAGTCAAAAAGAAAGTTGGAAAAGTGACAACAAAGGTAAACATCAAAATTAAAGAAATGGAAAATGAAAAAAAGGATAAAGGATAAGTAAATCCATAAACTTGGTTTTTATAAAGACCAGATAATAAGTAAACTCATCTTCGGTCTGATTAAGGAAGTAAGTGAAGAACAATTATAACTAAGATTTAAGGAGGAAGAAGGAGACATAGATTATGTGTGAGTTTAAAATAATAGAATCCACATGTACGATTGTATAAACAAACTTGAAACTAGCTATGGATAATTTTCTGTCAAAATACAAATTAACCAAATTGACTTCCTCCAAAAGTGGAAAATTTGAGATGAACAAAGAAGAAATTAGGTGAGTAGAGATCTGTTGCTGAACAAAACACTGAGACAAAGTGGATTCACAACTGATTTACTACTTACATAAATTAATAAATATGTTTATAGCTAATAAAAAATTCAGTAATGCCATTTGTTATTATTAATCAAACAGATTACACCCTTGTTATTTAAATTACTCCAGTCTGTAGGAAAAGATAGAAAGGCCTAAAATTTACTTTATGATTTCTGCATAGCTTTAATACTGCACATGTCACAAATACCAACCAAAAAGTGTTTAGGGGATTATAGGCCTTCTCACTTGTGAATATATATGTAAAAATTTAAAGTACAATATTAGCCTATAGAATCAAGTGAATAATTGCACTACTGAACAAGGAGGATTTACTAGAAGAATTTACAGGAGACTTAATTAGAAAGTGTTAGCATAAGTCATATAACGAATTAAAAGAGAAAAGTTACATAGTCAGGTAAGTAGATGCTAAAAAAGCCTTTGGTGATATTCAGCAGTTATTTCTATTATAAGTTATAGGTAAAAAAGATATAGTAGAAAACTACTCAGATATGATAAAGACCATTTGACTAAACTTAAATACTCCTTGGTGAATTCCAGTAAAGAACTAGTCAGGAAGCCTTTTATTATGACTATTAATTTTAAACATTTTCTTGGGATTAGACCAAAAAAAAAAAAAAGGTCAGTGGCTGGGAGTAATGAACTGATATGATAATGATAAACTTCAGAAAAGAAGAACTATAAGTATTTCTCTTTTCAGTTTATATGATTATAAACCTAGAACACCTTAGAGATTCTAGGTTTTTTTTTCAAAGAGTAGAATTTAATAAGGTAGACTATATATAAGATAACTTAATAAAATCAACAACTTTTCTCTCTTATGGAAGAAATATCTATAAAGGAAATGTTTTAGTATTTTCCACAGAAAGAGAACTGATAGGATATGTATAGATATATAAAAGAGGAGATTTATAGGAATTGGCTTGTGCAGTTACTGATGCCAGGAAGTCTCATGATCTGATCTGTCCTCTTTAAACTAGAGAACCAGGAAACCTGGTTTTTAATCTCTTGTATCTAATACAGTCTGAATCTGAAGGCCGGAGACTGGGTGTGATCTGATGGTATAAGACCAGGAATGCCCATTTCTCAGTTCAAGTCCAGAGAGCTAATTTGCTCTTCTGCCTTTTCTATTCCAACCTTTAAGTATTGGATCATGGCCATATTCCTTGGGAAGGGCCATCTGCTTTTACTCAGTTCACCAATTCAAATGCTAATCTCTTCCTGAAACGTTCTCACAGACACATTCCTTAGTCTTTTGAAGTTGACAAATAAAATAAACCATCACAGGGAATTTAAAAAAAAATTCTACTCATAATAGTTACAAAAACTATGATATGCTTTCAAATCCACTTAAGAGGAAACTAATGAAGAAAATCATAAAATCTTAGTAGAAGACCAAAAAATCACCTGAAAGTGTACTTTATAGTGTAATCCATGGTGGTAGTGGGGAAGAAGTTCTTAAATAAGGTTAAAAACCCAAAAACGATAAAAGTAGATTTGTGCAAAAAATTTTTTAAAGTTTCAATGTTAAAATATGTCATAAAGTCAGTTACTAAACAAAAGATCTGGAAGAAATACTTTCACATAAGACATAACAATCCTAATATTAGTCAAGATTGAATTCAGGGCAAAAAGTGAGACAATTAAGGGCAATGTGACATCTACAAAGATGACCTGACAGGAAAATATATGCCTCAGATAATGCCATATATACATATATGTATTTCTTTTTAAAGGCAAAAACTACAGGAATCATGATGTGAAACAAAGAAGTGCTTGAGTAGCAGGAACTTGACTTCATCTCTCTGACCTATTTCATAGTAGATGAACTGGATGAAATATAAGTAAGGGCATTAAAGACCTGAAAGAATTAATTTATATAGTTGATACTTTGTACTATGAAAACAGAACATACCTTTTGGTGGAATATTCACAAAAACTGATAATAAGTTTGGTTATAAAATGTCAGTTAAGTCCTCAAGAAAAACTTCAAGAATTATTCTAATTTTAGAGCACTAACCTAAAATGAACAAAGAAGCTGCGGAGCTTCACTACTTACATAGTTTAGATATCTAAATCTTATAGGTTAGATAAGAATTATAAACTAAAAACTAACAATAAATAAAACATCAGTTTTGTGGGCTATAGCTGAAGTAATACTGAGGAAGATTTTAGCCTTAAATATATGTAACTAGTCTCCAAATAATTACAGTAAGTGAACTAAGTATCCAAGTTAAGAAGTTAGAAAAAAATTAATAAACTTAAAAACAAAAGCATATAGGTAGTGGCACACTTTTTAAGAGGGAAGCAATCTGCTCTCACCATTCCTATTCAACAATGCACTGAAAGTCCTGATAGGCACAGTGAGGTAAGAAAAAAGTAAAAGGCATAGGTTAGATGAAAAAGTAAAACTCCCACTTTGCAGAAGACTTAATGTCATAATTTATTGGGGCTGGTGTAACAAAATACCACAGACTGGGTAGTTTATAAATGACAGAAACTGATTTCGTTTTGGAGGCAGGAAGTCTGAGATCAGGGTGTCAGCATGGTCAGGTGA